AAAAAAAAAAAACATAAAGCAGGCTATATAAACACCTGTGTATTACCGCTAAATGTTATGGTAAGGCAAAAAGGTAAAGTCTGCATACGAGCCAAGTGGCCCATCAGGCCGGAGCTTATCCCGGTTTCTAAAGCATACATGTAAAGCAACTACTGTAGGATGGGATGCTAGTCCATCGCAGGGTTACTTTCCAACATTGAATTCGCCGGTACCCGATTCTACACCTGGGTGGAGAGAGGTACTGTGAGAGTAAAGTGTCTTGCCCAAGATTACAAACAATGTTCTCGGCCAAGGGGACCACTCGATCCAGAGGCGAGCGCACCAGTCATGAGGCCACCGCGCCTCCACAAATGTAATAATTTAGCTCACCGTAAACGTAATTCAACGCTGTAGGAGAATTCCTAGTCACCCTTTCTAGAAAGATACTGACCTTCATAGATAACACTCCGTAACTCTGTTATTTATTCTTGTCTGTTGCATTAATGAATGGCGGGTTTGTAGTTTTCTGGGTACCTTAAATGTTGCCCAACAAAGTTGAATTTTTCAATGCCTACAGACCACAAAGTACTACATACACGAAAAGGACGTTCCTTTCAATTTTGCTTGTTATAAAACTTAATCTGAGTTTCTTTTGATCTACGTGTAGCGAACAAAGGCGGGCAAACTACCAAGAAGTCGACATTGCCAACCAAACGTAAACAAAAGACTGCAGAATCTGATGAGGACTTTGTTGTTAGCGACGATGAAGAAGAGAAGCATTTGGAGCAAACAAAAAAGACAAAAAATGCAACTAAGAAAAGAACATCAAATAGCATTGACGACAGCGATGAAGACATTACACCCACCGCAAACAAGAAAGCAAAGAGAAAAAGTCGTGAAATACAGAGTGACAGTGGCGACGACTACGAACCTGTACGACCTGAAAAGAGTAAACCAGTTAAACCAGTTTCTAGGGATGCTTCCAGTGGAAGTGATGAAGAAGAAGTTAAGCCTCCATCAAAGGTGGGTAAGGCTTGTCGCAGCTTGTCCCTGTTAGTATTGCTAATTAATTTGCAGTCCTGAATTGTGTATTCGTAGCTTTTTATATTATACAGACACGCTCGAGTGTTTAACTGGAATATACACCACTCTTAAAATTCATACAAAGTTACACCTGGGACCCGAGTGGCATATCTGCCATCTCTTCAATTTCATCCGGCATTTTCATGGTTGCTCTTGCACGAAACAATTGCACGGTGGCTTGAAGATCTGAATTTTATTTTGTCGTACGAAAAAACATGTTTTACTCACTCGCTGCGCTCGTTCGTAAAATGTTGTTTTAGCCACTCGAAAATAAAGTGAAGAAAACGATGAAACTAAAACTCGCCGAAATCGTGTTGAAATGGCCCCAAAACGGCATGAAGACAAAAGTAACGCACATAAGAGTCGAAGTAAGTCGTGTTAATTCAATTTCTTTTCCATATTTTGAACTGTCACATACGATCGTTACATTCCCATACACACTCTTATATTTACGCTGTTATGCAATGTCATACAATAAAGTTCACAACACTCCCAAGGAGCTTGGGATACCTGTGGTTTTAATTGCTAACTGTTTCGCGTTTTCTGGAATGTAATCTGATACCTTTAAACTTTGTGGCGACACTCCGGCAAAGCTTAGCTCAGTTATCCAAAGGCTCTGAAATCTTAAGCTATATATACAAAACCTCAGAAGCCTGCAGCTCTATACCCATGTCCCTTGTCAAGACAGATGTTCGCGGACCTGTCAGGAAAATGGCAAATGGCTTTGTAGCTCGCATTACAGCTACAACTCAAAATTTCTTTTTCTCTTTTTCAAAACAGAAACGTGCAGAGGCGAAAAAAACAGAGAAAGACAAGAGCAAAACTTCAAAGCTTCCATCCTGTCCATATGGAAGCAAATGCTACAGGTATGTGTACTGATAGTGGGTCTTCTATTTCTAATTACTGTAAGACACATCACTGGGTCATAAAGAAGTCAGTAGGCACTACAAATTGTCTCTGTTTGATTGGATGATTTTAAGCTCGATATAGACTTTATCAATTAAAGTGGTTTGTTTCTCGTTGCTACCTCGCGCTCTTCGTACTCCAGTTTTAAGAGTCATAGACATTTTTTTTTTTGTTTTCCGAGCTCAGCTTTCACAGCTCAACTTGTGAACAAGTCTAAGCCTGATACTGAGGCTCCACGCCACTAATATCCCGATCGAGAGCCCTCCGGCAAATGGCCTTGATATTTCGCAATATTTTGTAACTTTCCCTGCTACTCACACGTTATTTTGTCACTACAGGAAAAATCCTGCACATTTCAAAGAATACTCACACCCTAGCAAGGATGGTGATGACGCGGACGATGGTGAAGCTGCTGCAGAAGACAGTGATGATGACAGACCCGAATGTCCTTATGGGACGGGCTGTTACAGGCGGAACCCGCAGCACAAACGGGATTTCAAGCATACAGAGACCCCAGGTGAGTGACCGCTTGTACACTGTATGCCACTGTGTAGATATATGAGTCTGGTAATGTATTCGTGACGCCATTGGCCGTATTTACCTAGACAGACGTTTAATGCTTCTCAAATGAAAAATTGACAGTTATTGGACAAAGTTGAACAAAATATGGTGATTTGTCAGTGGCGAGCAGATCAATTATTTGCCGAAGCCTAAGTCGCTGAACCCTGCGATGGACTAGCATCCCATCCAGGGGAGAGCAGAAATACTCTTAGTCGCTGCATGCTACAGATACCGGGATAAGCTCCAGCCTGATGGGCCACTTGGCTCGTATGCAGACGTTACCTTACCGTTATCTTCACACTACAACGGAGAAGTTTTAAAACGCAGTATTCACCGACGGCAGAAACGGGATTTTGGATTTGCGTTCGAGGAAGACTCAAGCTTGGAAATCACCTGATTATCGTGACGTCATCGTTTTCGTAAAATTTCGTTTTCACAAGTTTTTTCGTCCACACTAAAACGCAAAGCCGGCGTTTTCAAATTCCTCCGATTTAAAGTGAGTTTTTTGTCCGTTTTTGGTGGGCAATTTCTCCGGTATCGGCGAATCTTTGCTGGCGTCATTGTTTACATTTTTCCTCATTAACATACGACTTTGCGCATAGAAGGCATCATGCTAGACACGATTTTACTGGAAAAACTTAAAGAGCTTGTGAAACTTAGTAAGGGGTGAAATTTTTGGCTCTTTGGGTGTAATATTCGAGGAGAAATTGGCTTTCAAAACCATCAAAATTTCTGTGTGGCAAAAGCGCTAATGAGCTCATACATTCTTTGTAAAATTTTGAGCTTTTAAACCCCCGTCGCACAAAAAGTATTCAACACATCGCGCTCAAATTCCTTGGGACAGTTAACCGTGCTGTGGCCTTTCAATATTCAGTATTAATCTCTTTGTAGCTCCATCAGAAACTGTATCGCTTATGGTAATGAGGCAAATATTGTAAACAAAGATTCTCCTATAGTGTGGTGGACCGGGCCTTATACTTATAGGTATATAATATGCATTGAACGAGAGACGAACTTATCTGTCTAAGTTGCAATTTGTTGCTTGTTGGTTGGTACCGGTTGTTCGTCATAACTTGGGTTTTAGTAAATATCTTTTTTGTTTGTTTGATTTCTGTTTGTTTGTTTGTTTGTTGTTTTGATTTCTGTTCTATTTTGATTTCCGTTTTGTTTTGTTTTGTCTAAATATAAATGAACTGAAACCAACAACATCAATTATTGCTATAAAGTATATGAAGTTAAAANTTTCAAGCATACAGAGACCCCAGGTGAGTGACCGCTTGTACACTGTATGCCACTGTGTAGATATATGAGTCTGGTAATGTATTCGTGACGCCATTGGCCGTATTTACCTAGACAGACGTTAATGCTTCTCAAATGAAAAATTAACAGTTATATTGGACGAAGTTGAGCAAAATATGGTGATTTGTCGGTGGCGAGCAGATCAATTATTTGCCGAAGCTTAAGCCGCTGAACCCTGCCATGGACTAGCATCCCATCCAGGGGGGAGTAGAAATGCTCTTAGTCGCTGCATGCTACAGAAACCGGGATAAGCTCCAGTCTGATGGGCCACTTTGCTCGTATGTAGACGCTACCTTACCTTCATCTTCACACTACAACGGAGAAGTTTTAAAACGCAGTATTCGCCGGCGGCAGAGACGGGATTTTGGATTTGCGTTCGAGGTAGACTCAGGCTGGAAATCGTGAAGTCATCGTTTTCGAAAAACTCCGTTTTCAAAATGGTTTTCGTCCACTCTAAAACGCAAAGCCGGCGTTTTCAAATGCCTCCGATTTAACGTGTGTTTTCGAAAAGCTCCGTTTTTGGTGGAAAATTTCTACCGCATAGTGTGGACCGGGCCTTATACGTATAGGTAATAATATGCATGGAACGAAAGACGAACTTTGAACCGTTTAAGTTGGTTGCTTGTTGGTTGGTTGTTCGTTCTAACCTGGGTTTTAGTAAATATCTATGTTCGTTTCTTTGTTTGTTTGTTGTTTGACTTCTGTTTTGTTTTGTTTTGTCTAAATATAAATGATCTCAAACCAACAACATGATTATTGCTATAAAGTATATGAAGTTAAAAACATTGTTTAACAACACGAAATATATTATTTTTGTTTCATGAAGGACGTCCTAAACGGAAGAAAGCCTCGAAACACAGGAGTGTTCTTGATGATGCTAGTGATGATGATGACGAACCAAACACCTACGATTATAATGACAGCTTTTTAGCTGATGATGGCGAAGAAAGTGGTAGCAGTTACTCAGCGTCAGATGACTCTGATTGGCAGCCTCAAGGAGATGATGATGACGATGCTGACGTTGATGAGGATGTTAACGAGTTGTTAACTGAAGCGCGTGGCTTTCTACGGAGTAAAAATATGACAAGGCCTGTATGACGGAGTTGCTGTAATACATGGTATTGTTGTTGGAAGCTGTTAGGTTTAAAGGACCACCATCTTGAAAGTGTACTAGAGCGGTTTTCAATTGGCTGTCGTCGTAATCACTCTGGCCAATCACAAAGGACACGGAAAATCAAATGAACCAATTGAAACTCGAAGTAGACGCATGTAGCTGACGCGAAGCGCGGGAAAACGCGTGCGAACGAATCACGATTGGTTTTGATTTGACTTCTGATTGGATGAAAGGTGGAGCGCAGTTTTTAAGCCAATTGTACGTGTAGCGTAGCAATGCAAAACCAATAAGCCTTATTCGTATTCTCGGTATTGGACTGGAACTAGCTTGCAATGGAGGCTTGTGCAGGGAAATATTATTAAAAAGAGATACATTCTATTTACATTTGAAGAGACTCCCTGCATTAGCCTCAGTTGCAAGCTAGTTCCAGTCCTATACTGAGAATACGGAATGTGGTCTATTGCTTTTCGACACTTAAGTGAAAACCGCTCCTAGAAAGTTCACTTAAATTTAATAGCTTAAAGGGGCTCAGTCACGCTGTTTTGAG